AACTGAATTTCTCTGCTCTGCTGCTTGCCTTATATAGGGTCTTTCTGGCTCCTGACTGGTCTCTGCAGCAGCCCTTCTGATTGGTTGCTTCTCTGCAGCCACTCTAGGCTGCCCAGAGGACCTCCTCACTACTCTATTCTGGGTTGGGGTAATTCAGGGCTGTGAGGACTCCAGCAGGGGGCCTCCAGGCCTAGTCCACCCCGTCACACATCCACATTTTCAAATACTTGCTTTAAGTGCTAAATAGCTCTTCTTTCAGATGTGGGAACAGAACCAATGACATTTGGCTCTGGGTCCCATGGTCTGGCGGCCAGAGCAAACTCCCACATGTAGGGAAAAATTTACTCCTGGGTAGCTGGCAAGGTCTCTAATGAGAGTGAAGAAAGACTCTCTTCAGCAGTTAATAGGCAGGATCTTGGATTATTCAGGCTGAGTGGCATTGATGCATGGGTTTTCTTTTTATTGCTCATTGTAACTCATGCCCAGGGAAGTGAGATAGAGAGCAGCCTCTCAACCGCATATAAATCTAAGGCCTTAGCCGGTTGTTTGCCACTTTTCATGGAGGAATAGCTCTTCCTCAACCCTGTGGCCAAATGGCTGGCTCCCAGAAAACATATGCATATTTTTAGCTTTATCTGTTCATGCATAACTACAAGTATTATTATTGGTCCTGAAAGTATCCAGCCCTTTGAAAATCCACCCAGAGCCCAACCAGGAATTCCAGAGCATGACTAAATGTTGAGCAAAGAAGTCTTTCCTTTGATATGTGCTACATTTCCCTGCCCTTAATCTCACCGCGTGGCCTGTTGTTCTTTTGTGATGGGGCATTTGAAAGAGTCGGAAGTAGACTCTTTGTGGGTTTAAACCTACAACGCTCTCCTCTGTGAACCCAGCACCCTAAGCCACCATGGGTACGTCGACCTTCAGCATGGCCATGGCTGACTTGGGCTCAAAATTGCAGTGTAGATGGTTGGAGCCTTGGCTCTGAAACCCCATGACAGGGGTGGGTCTCAGAACCAGGCTCCAGCCCGAGCCCGAATGTCTACACTGCCATGTTTAGGCCCACAGCCTGAGCTCTGCAAGCCTGAGCCAACAGACCCAGGCTCGGAGACATGGTACCACGGGTTTTTTATTGCAGTGCAGAGGTACTTTGTATTATATCTCTCAAGAGAGAACTTTGCTGGAGCTTAAACTGTGTGACAGCTTCCGGCCACATCCTTCGATCTGCCTCCTGCCAAGGGGGTCCTGGGGTGCTGCAAATATCTCTTTTCAGCCCTGGAACTGGCTGTGAGTTCTGTGCTGTGCCTGGCAACATCTCACCGTGTGTTTTTGTATGAAAGGTTTTCTCTTGACTGTATTTGTCACTCTGTTCTTTCACTGGGCTTTTCTCTCGTCCTCCCTCTCTCTTCTCCCTTTATTTTTCAGGATGAAAAAACCCAGCAATGTTCAACTTTTAAACCCTTGATCTTTGCGATGGCTTGAGATTAGGCAAAATGAGTTTGTCCATTTCTCTCTGTGATTGCGTGGGGCATATAAGTGGGAAGGTGCCCTCCCCATGCCCTGTCCACCAGGACAAGACACAGGTGTAGTGATTAGAGCACTAACCTCAGCGAGTGGGACCCCTGTGTTCCATTCCCTTTATTGCCTTGGGCAAGTCACTCAGGGTATGTCTACAGTACCCACCGAAGGCATGTCTACACCACAGACTTAAGTCGACCTATGTTAGTAATTACTGCAGTGGCTGATGTCCACACTACCCTCCTTCTGTTGGCAGTGCGTGTCCTCACCAGCAGTACTTCCACTGACTGAAGAGGGGGGCTGAGAGGCTCTCAGCTCAGTGCTGCTCCCTTCCAGGAGCACAGCTGCCCCCCAGGCTCTCGGCTCCCCAGTCCAAGCTGGAAGATGATGGCAGCCGCCCAGGCTTCTCGTATCCCTGAGCCGAAGCCAGGGACAGCCCAGGTCTAGCTGCCCAATTTTCTTGTCAATTTCACAGCTCCAGCATGGAGCCCTGAAATTGACAGGACAGCCAAAACCAGATGTAAGAAATACACAGACACTGCGTTGCCTTAACTACACCAACATAAGTGCTATGCCTCTCGTCTCGGCGGAGTTATTATGTCAGTGAGGTAGGGCACTTATGTCGGTGGGACAAGGCTGTAGTGTGTATACACTGACATAATAAGTTTGACGTAAGCTGCCTTATGTCAAGATAACTGTATTGGGTAGAGCAGGCCTCAGTCCAGGCTCTGAGTTGGGTTTGAGCCCAAGCCCCCTTTCTGTCCGCACACAAATCTGTCTGATTCAGGACCTGTGTCCGAGAACTCTGCGAGGGGGCTGAATCAGAGCCCAAGTCCTTCTGAGACTTGCGTCCAAACCCTATCATCGTGCAGGCAAGCTGTAGACCATAATGCAATACAGATGCATTAGCATAGCTATGAGATCTGGGTCTAGCAACTGTAAACACAGGTTTATAATGTAATGTGGATGCTCACGCACGGGTTTGGAAACCTCGAGTCCAGGTGCCTCAGTTCCCCATCTGTAATTTGGGGGTGAAAGCACAGGGGAGGGGTGAGGATAAATGGATTTAAGAGTGATAAGGTGCTCTCTTGCTTTCCTAATGGAGGGTCAAAGTATCTTAGAGAGCTAGGAAAGTGGGCTTTGAAAATCAGTTCCTTCTCCGTAACCTAGCTTCAGTACCAGTACTGAGTTCAGAATTCTGGCATTTGTACAATTCAAAGCTTCCTTCCCAGGCACCTTTGCCCTGGGAATCTCAAACAGGAATTAATTTCTCCCCAACACCTCAGGGAAGAAGGAATTCATTTCTCACCTTCATGTCACAGATGGGGAAACTGAAGCACAAGGCGGTGAAGTGATTTTCCCAGCATCACACAGCCAACTGGCAGAGCCAAGAGTAGAACCCAAATGTCCCAATTCCCTGTGCTCTAGCTGCTAGATAACACTCCCCAGCATCTCTGAAACCTACAAGAGAGGCAGGAATGCAGGGGAAAAGACAGAAATCTTAATTCAGGTCCTGTCTGGTAGAAAATCCTCCATATTCACCCTTCAAGAGGATAAAATAATAGCATTCCAGAAACTGACCCATCCAAAATATAATCTAAAGATGTCATCAGGGGACATGGGAAGATGAAAGAGGGACAATCAATTAGAAAGGAAAATGAAATTCATTGAGCTTGGAGCTGGTGGTTGGAGGATCACAAAAGGAACAGAATTTCAGCCATGAGAAAGCAGCTTGGGGCAGGAAAAGGCAGACTGTCAATTTGGACAATCCGGGGTAGGAGACAAAGGACGAGTCGCTCAGTCCAGCTGCAGTGTTTGTGCTAAACTGCTCTCTCTCCACCTAGTGAGCAGAGTGAGCATAGCAGCAGGCCTGCGTGAGCTCTGAGGCTTTGAAAGGAGTTGTGGTTCGAGCAGGAGAAAAGCAGGGTCGCTCAGGGACAAACCCTCATGGTTGTGAGCTAAGGCACTGCTTGAAATGCTTGCAGCGATTACCAGGATCAAACGCACAGAGTCAGTACCAGCAGAGACAGCAGCTTTACCTGCATCCCTCAGCCCGGGTACATGCACGGGAGCAGGGGCAGCTGGGAAGTGATGGGAACATGAGGAGGCCAGGCTCAGAGATGCCATGATTGCTCTGGACACTAAGTACATGAGCTCTCTTGCTTCGCTAGAAGGTGTGGTCCCCTGGGGACCTATTCTTAGCTCTGCCACCAACCAGCTGGGTGATCTTGCGCAAGTCACTTTCCCGCCCTAGCACGGCAGTGATCTCACTTGGCTAATAGAGAGTAATGTGCAGGGAGAAAGTCAATGACGCCCCGTGACTAGCATTCCGCACCACCCTGCGAAGCCTTTGGATGAAGCGGTTAATGCTAGGCATGCTTCCCCTTCCAGAACCGAATTCTCTTCTGTCTGCAGCAGCTTCCCACTTGTCATGTTTGCCTGGATTTATAGCCCTAGCCGAAAAAGTGTTGATCTCTCACCAATTTCAATTTGGAATCCGGGGCCATCATTTGCTAGCAGGCTCAGTTCCTTACGGATGGGACAGCTCATTCCACCACCTTCAGAATCCTGTCCAGAAGGGTGCAGTTTCAGAGGGGCAATTCAGTATTGATTCGTTCATGTTTAGTAGGCAAGGTAAACTACAAAGGAGTAGAAGCAGTGTGGTCTGGTTGCGCAGGTGGTACCAATGACGAGGACATGTCACGAGGACATCTGTGTAGATTTTGGGGCAGGGAATGTCTGTCTGGGTCGGTGCAGCACCCGTACAATGGGTCCCTGATCTCAGCTGGGGGTCACTAGGCAACACTATAATGTTAAGACTTGGGTTAAACCCCACTGAAACTGGGGGCGGAGAGGTATAATGGCTGCCCTTCATTTAAGGTAGTTGCAGGAAGCCATTAAGCTTCTTGATGGATGCAAGTATCTGAAACAATAGGGTCCTCCTCCAACCAAAACAGAGCACGGGACACCACCCAAAACAAAAAGGCACACGTGAGGATGCTCAGGAGATGGAAAAGGCAGCAAAGAAGCACCACACACAGCCACTTAAGCACTGGTAGCGTGACCATGGAAAAAAGCTGATAGAGAGAGATTCTGGGCAGAGTGCTGGCTGAAAGAGGCTTGGAATTGTGAATAAAGAAACTGTCTCCTGTTGTTTGGTTTCTACTGTGTTCAAGGAACAGAACTTTTTACACTCTTTGTAAATCAGCTGGATCGTATAAAAGAAATAACTGAATTTCTCCTAACGGAAGCAACCCGGCAAGGCCCTGGATGTTGGCTAACTGCTCGCATCCAAAAGGTGTAACAGTGATATAAATTAGGATAAAGGAGGGGAAGGAGAGAAAAATCTAAAGAAAGGAGGGTGAAAAGTTAGTGCAAAGATGGAGAGAGAAAAATAAATACAGAGAACGAAAAAAAAAAGCAGAGAAGGGGATTGAGAAAAATTCTAATAAGGGTCCGATCTTTAGTGGACATACCTTGGCACAGCTCCACTGAAGATCTGCCCCAGAGAATCTGTTCTGAATGCAGGAGGCCCCATGTTAGCCAAGTTTTGCTGGTGCTCTTCTACACCTACTACACGGCACATGCTCTCCTGCGGTTAGAAAAACATTTTGAATTTTTTTTTTTTTAATTCCTTCTTCCTTGGGGGGAAAAATATCTGGGTTTAAATTACAGGAGGAGAAATGATCTGTGAGCTCAAACTATATCTGTCATCTCAAACATCTGAAATTGTAAGCACCTTGTGTTTGAAGATCCCCTTTTATGGCATTTTGTTGTTGTTTCCTTGTACCCCCTCCCATCTGCATCCACTTTTTCTCTCTTGTCTTATTTATAGACTCTAAGCTCTTTGGGACAAGGACTGTCTTTTCGGGTTGAGTGGGTACAAGGATCCTGGTTTGTGACTAGGGCTCCTCCATACTACCATAATACACCTAATAAATAATGTACAGAGCCTAGCACAGTGGGGCCCTGGTCCGTGACTGGGACTGCTAGGTGGAACTGTAGGAATAAGTGATTTTTCAGTTTGCTGGCTGAACCAAAATAATCGAGGGGAAAAAATCATTTCAGGTCAAACCAAAATGGAATTCATTCTAATTTTTTGGCAAACTGAAGAAGTAAAAGAAAAGGTTATTTCAGGTCAATCAAAGACGTGTGTGTGTCTGTGTCTGTGTGTGTGTTCATTTTTGATTGTTTAACCCTTTGTTTTAAAAAAAATTGGAGTAAGATATCAAAATGAAACATTTTGATATTTTTGGATAGAAACAACATGAGGAATTCCACACGAATTCTTGAAATGTTTTTGTCAACCCGAATCTGCATTTTTCAGCGAAAAATGTTTCATCTGAAAAATTTCATGCAGCTGCTCTCCAGGTGCTACTGCAGCACACATTATACGAATAATGTACATCCTGTTAAACCTAAACAAGATACAGCACTGCAGCCTCGGGGCTGCTCTAGGTTACACTCTGCTTCCCAGTGGCCCTGTGAGAATAGCAGTAGCATGTTCTGACTGTACCCTTGTATTCCCGCTCTGCCGCCTAGGTTGGGCAATGCAAACAGAGCTGTGTGCAGCCTTCATGCTCATTGTATGCCAGCCACCCATAGCGTATTCTTGGGGGGCTGGAGTATCTGGCCTGAAGTGCATGCTCCAACAGGCAAAGCAAGGGCAGATGAAACACTCTCAGCCTTTCACACATATCCAAGGCAGTTGGCCATGATTTCTACCTTCCCTGCCCAAGTGATAAGGATGCGTAACTAAATTCACCCCTCTCTAACTCTGGGGCAAACCCTAGCCCACAGATTGTACAAAAGTGTGCCTCGTATAGAAAGGAATTGAGATGCAGAGGAGACCCAAACTGCTCAGAGGTGAGCAAAGCTGTGAGATTGCCACTGTTTGAAACCATTATCGCAGGTGAGGAAACCCAACGGGGCTCTCCTTTTCTCCTCTGTCTTTCCATTATGAATTCTTACAGGTCTTCGTTTTGTACAACTTGCAGTTGAAGATTTGGAGTCATCAAGCAGACAGGGTACAGGGCTGAGAGTTCACTGCTCTAGATTCTGTTAGTCACAGACTTATAGATTTTTAAGGCCAAAAGAGTGCATTAGATAATCTGGTCTGACCTCCTGCATAACACAGGCCACATTAAGTTATGTTTTCCATATTTCCTTGCAGCCTGGCTGGCTTTTATTTTAGATGAAGGGCAACAAGAAAGAACAAAATTCAAGTCTCCATGCAAGAGCACAGTGTATGTGTCTCCTTGCTAACATGCAACATCAATTCTTTCTCACCAAATGGCGGCTTTCTTTCAGACTGAGAGATCGCTAGAAATGTAAAGGTGCAGCACACACACACAAAAATCAGAACAGTTACAAAGCTACAAAATACCATATATTCTATTCCTGACTCTGCCAGTCAATCACTGTATGAAATGGAGAAAGTCCCGACATCACTCTGAGCCTCAGTGCTTGACATCTGATCTGTGTCCATTTATTCTTTTACGTAGAGACTGTCCAGTTTGCCCAATGTACATGGCAGAGGGGCATTGCTGGCACATGATGGCATAGATCACATTGGTGGATGTGCAGATGAACAAGCCTCTGATAGTGTGGCTGATGTTATTAGGCCCTGTAATGGTGTCTCCTGAATAGATATGTGGGCACAGTTGGCAACGGGCTTTGTTGCAAGGATAGGTTCCTGGGTTAGTGGTTCTCTTGTGTGGTGTGTGGTTGCTGGTGAGTATTTGCTTCAGGTTGGGGGGCTGTCTGTAGGCAAGGACTGGCCTGTCTCCCAAGATTTGTGAGAGTGTTGGGTCATCCTTCAGGATAGGTTGTAGATCCTTAATAATGCGTTGGAGGGGTTTTAGTTGGGGGCTGAGGGTGACGGCTAGTGGCGTTCTGTTATTTTCTTTGTTAGGCCTGTCCTGTAGTAGGAGACTTCTGGGAACTCTTCTGGCTCTATCAATCTGTTTCTTCACTTCCACAGGTGGGTATTGTAATTGTAAGAATGCTTGATAGAGATCTTGTAGGTGTTTGTCTCTGTCTGAGGGGTTGGAGCAAATGCGGTTGTATCGCAGAGCTTGGCTGTAGACAATGGATCATATGGTGTGGTCAGGGTGAAAGCTGGAGGCATGTAGGTAGGAATAGCGGTCAGTAGGTTTCCGGTATAGGGTGGTGTTTATGTGACCATCGTTTATTAGCACTGTAGTGTCCAGCAAGTGGATCTTTTGTGTGGACTGGACCAGGCTGAGGTTGATGGTGGGATGGAAATTGTTGAAATCATGGTGGAATTCCTCAAGGGCTTCTTTTCCATGGGTCCAGATGATGAAGATGTCATCAATATAGCGCAAGTAGAGTAGGGGCGTTAGGGGACGAGAGCTGAGGAGACGAGAGCTCGTTCACCTGCACATCCACCAATGTGATATATGCCATCATGTGCCAGCAATGCCCCTCTGCCATGTACATTGGTCAAACTGGACAGTCTCTACGTAAAAGAATAAATGGACACAAATCAGATGTCAAGAATTATAACATTCATAAACCAGACAGAGAGCACTTCAATCTCTCTGGTCACGCGATTACAGACATGAAAGTTGCGATATTACAACAAAAAAACTTCAAAACCAGACTCCAGCGAGAGACTGTTGAATTGGAATTAATTTGCAAATTGGATACAATTAACTTAGGCTTGAATAGAGACTGGGAGTGGCTAAGTCATTATGCAAGGTAACCTATTTCCCCTTGTTTTTTGCTACGCCCCCCTTCCCTCCCAGACGTTCTTGTTAAACCCTGGATTTGTGCTGGAAATGGCCCACCTTGATTATCATACACATTGTAAGGAGAGTGATCACTTTAGATAAGCTATTACCAGCAGGAGAGTGGGATGGGGGGAGAGAAAACCTTTTGTAGTGGTAAACACCCATTTTTTCATGGTTTGTGTGTATAAAAAGATCTTCTATACTTTCCACAGTATGCATCCGATGAAGTGAGCTGTAGCTCATGAAAGCTTATGCTCAAATAAATTGGTTAGTCTCTAAGGTGCCACAAGTACTCCTTTTCTTTTAATTAATCAAAGAACATTTTTCCTTCCAGACATCCCTTCCAAAAATTTCATAACCATTCTACAGAGAAAACAAGGATGATAATTGTTTTAATGTAAATTAGAACCAATTATGAATCAATAGAGTTTACTGGAGTAATACTTTTTATGGAATTACACCCTATTTTAATTCATCACGTGGTTAATTACAGGTTAATATAACAGATAAATTGGTTTATATGACTGAATTATTATCCTGTGTTGTTAATTTCATGTTAATTTTTACATGAGCTTTTATTGCATTATGCAACTTTATTTTAATTTTTTTTAAAAAAGTGGTTGGGGAACTGGGTATCTGGAACTGAGCATGAGTGCCTCCCGGTCAAAATATCACCGTGATCTAAATATAAAACATGACACAGGTGCTCTCAATAAATCAAGTCACCAGCCATGACACATAGGGTTCAGGTTTTCTCTTGCACTGCACTCCATGTAATCATTTACATAGTCATTCTCTTCCTTTTCCATACCATCACCCAGTTTTCCATATAAGGACCCCCACCTTACAGGTCTCCACTTCCAGGATTTAGTCATGTGGATAGTATGGGATGGTTTGCCAGTCCCCTGAGGCCTGCCACAACCCCTGGGTTGAGAAGCCAGGATTTACATCAGCATAAAGTGGGTATAAAATCTCACTGGTTCAGAAATGGAAGCATTTTATAGCTGATTTGCACAAATTTAAATGACTCCATAAGATGCAGGGAAATCTGGCCCATTGGTAGTATGAGATGTGTGTGGAGGTGAACCCCACATGCAAGGGGTCAAAAGGCAGGTGGCTGCCTTTGGAAAGGAATACCAAAATTGCAAGAGCAAGGGAAGCTAATTGTTTTGAAGCCTCTGGTAGATCTAAGAGCACTTAATGGAGGGCAAAGCTTTTCCTACACATAAGCAAAGTATGCACCAAGCAAGATGAAACAAGCTAAGATGAAGATGCATGATTGTACACCACAAACATTCACAGCGCTGAACTATCCACATTTTATGAAATGTGAAAATGGCTAATTAACATCATGACTATCCTGGCAGAATGTTTCTAGCACCAGCATTAAAGAAGAGGAGTATTCGAACACATTTTCCCTAACCAACATTTCTCAGGATCTATGTTAAAAAACATAATAATAATCTTGCTACAGAAATCTACAGGAATCACTCCCAATCCTGGGGAAATGCCATGCAGTTGCTGAAATCATTTTAGAAGAGATTGGCTAGATTACAGGAGAAGCTTGGTTGGAAATCTAAACTTGAGTTTGAGCCAGAAAAAGTCCAGCAAACTGCCCTAAACCTTTTCAAAGACCAGCTATTAGTGAAATATGGTGATTTGTTCATTCCACGGTGGTGGCAAACTGGAAACATTGCCCATAAGTCCAGCCCTCTAGTGTCACCTCGTTGCAGAGTTCTTTTCTGGCAAGAAAAATTGCATCGTGATAAAAGTATAGATGCCAGTGAAAGCCATACAGAGGAACCGACTCTACGGGTCTCTCCAGCACTGGCGGTAG